TTTGGAAAAAAATGTCAAGAGACAAAAATGTTCAGGACACATTTCTCTATCTGCTCTGATAATTTGAGAAAAATCTGTGACAGTTCATTGAGCAACTTCGTTCGTCTCTATCGTGCACTGCCTCCTAAGGAAATTATCCTTACGTAACACCATTTTTCAATTTTGATAAAAAGTGAATAAGTATGACGGGGAAATTGAACAAGGGTTACACTGTTCTGTTTGTAATTATTTTTTGTAAACATAAGAGTAAAAAATGCTGTTCTATACAATTTCGAATTTTAAAATACAAAATGGAACCGAAAAACTAAAATATGAAAAGGTTTTCTTCAATTTTTTTTAATGTGGCTTTTGTTTTTTGGCAATAAAACAACAGTAACTCATATTTCAGTAAAAAAATGCGTTTAGAATCTAAAAATTGGGATTTATCAGAAACTTTGAATGTTCTATCGCTTAAAGTTTTAGAATTTTTATAATTAAAAGAATTAAATATTGAGATTTTACATTTTAATTTTCAGTAGACCAGTAGACAACATCAAAAATCGGACATTAATTTTTACTTTGAAATTAATTAAATTCAACAAACATTTTTCTCAAAATGCTTTTCAAACACTATTTTCAAATACGCGAAAAACTCAATGAAAAAGACAGACTAAATACTTTCTTTTCTTTAAGTCTCGAATAGCAGATTTTATTGTATAAAATACGATTGATCATGTCTGTCTATCATCAATGATAAATCAAAGAACTGGTCATTTTTTCGTATAAAAAAAACCATGAGGACACGGTGTACCTTATAAACAAAAAAAAACAATCTGCTATAATACTGTTTCTTTAGAAACAAATAAAAATAAAGGTGACAGGTTCTTGACAAATGGAAGAAAAAAAGTAAAAATGTTAGACGTTTGCTGTTGTGTAACTTTTTCAGGTTTTCTTCGATCGTCTATAGTCATCGTTTTTATATTCACATTTTTTTAAAAAAAAATGCAAAAAAAGAAAAAAATAATTGTTGATTTTGTATGCGGGAGGAAAATGAAGAAACATAAAACTCTTCAAATATCATATACTCTTTTTCAGAAACAAAAAAAAAAAAAAAGAGTTTAAGAGAAAAATACATTTATTAACATAAAAAAATTCCTTCGTCTTTTTCAACGATTCATTAATCAAACTTCTTTAAATTTCTAACAGTAACATCGCTAGTAAGCGAAAAATCTGTCATAATCGACTGACATTACTTGAATAAAATTATCATTTTTGACTGTAATAGTTATTGTATTTAATAGTAATTGGATAATGGCAAAATTAACGAGTAGTCAAAAAAAAGAATTAAAGGATGCATTTAATCTATTTGATACGGGTATGTAAAGTATTAAACTACAAATCTCGATCATAAAATTACTTAGTTAGTATTCATAATCTTTCTAAATAATCAATTTGTTAGGCTGAATAGAGTTTCAATCAGTCATAAAATTATATCAGAAAGATGAATTTATGAGTCGCAGCCTATATTTTCATAAAAACTGAACTATTATTTTTCATCACTTAATTAAAAAAAGATTACATTTTTCTATACTTTTTATCTTCCATCTGTGATGTATATTCTAATTATATAGACGATTTGATAGAATGAGGAAAACCTATGTGTATGATGGTAAACGAGGCACAGATACATATTCATTGTTTTCAGTACAGGTTTTATTCTTATTGCTTAAGATCAATCCGGAAAAATTTCAAAACAAGAATTAATAAAAGTGTTGAATGCACTTAATATTCAACTGAATGATGTTGAATTAGGTCATCTGCTGTGTCAGATGGATAGCAATGGTAGTGGTAAGTATTTCACAGCAATGTTAACTGGTATTCTTCTTTTCCCTAATATTTGTTTCTTATTTTCAGGTGATATTGAATTTGAAGAATTTTGTCAGGTAATGGGACAAGCATTTTTTAAGCAATATTCACGTGCAGAATTACAAGATGCGTTTAAACGATTTGATCAAGACGGCTCGGGTTATATTCAAGCAAGTGAATTAGAATCAATCATGTCACGAATGGGTAAACGAATGAAAAAAAGTGAAATCGATCAAATGATCAAATCACTAGACTCAAGTGGTAATGGTCGAATTGAATTTGATGAATTTGTTGCTTTGTTTAATCAATAATTGGCTCTAATATTAATATAAGATTATAATAACTTAAACCGAATGTTTTACTATAAAGATACTGCATTTTAAGTAAACAGAGAAAAAAAACAATGATGGAATTTTAAACACTTCAAGCATTGTTTGTCAAATATCACAACAAAAATTATTATCTAATTTTAACTTCTTGATCGTCTAAGGCTCCTCGGTCAGAAATGTTAATTTTTGTTAAAAATATGGTTTTTTAAACAAGTACATGGTTAATAATCTGAGGTGTTCTCTTTCGAATGCACTAAGTTCAATGACCTGAACTCTAGCATTGTAAAACAACTTTTTATTTTTTTTGTGTTTTTTACGAATTTCATATAGCAGTAGGTTTTCGGTGAGGATATACCACTTGAATTCTCCATAATCTATTTCATAGGTCAAAAATCTCCGCACATATACATGCCACACATGTGCGAGCATGTGCATATCGAGTTCAGGACGGTCGAAAATCTATAGGGATATATAAAGAAACTTTGTTCATTGGAATATTACGAAAAATTTGACATTTTTCGAAAGAAAAAAGTATTTTGCGTTTTTCTCGAAATGATATTTCTTTCTGCTCACATTTCGTAGTTGCAAGATTTCTTGGTAATGAAATATCGTGGAGAGCTCGAGCTGGTTTTAAATTGAAGTTAACAGCTTTGACTAGAGGCTAATAGAGCACGGTTTTTGATATTCACTCTAGCTTTGCGGTTAGAGAAGCATCTTTGGGTAAGTTAATGAGACTTTTTCGAATTTTTGACTTTTGAGGCTTACCGTTATTTGGGAAAGTAAAATAACAAAATCCGGTTCTATTGGCCTCTAGCCACATCTGTTTTCGTCACTTTAACACCGTCACGAACACTTTACGATGTTTCGTTACCGAAAAACCTTGCAGCTACGAAAAGACTACTGTTGTGGCGCCATCTCACAAACGATGACAGACGGAGTAAAATAAAATTTCGTCATTACATCATACTTTGGCATACCCAACATTTCTTGAAATTCTTGTCAAGATCAGACTTATACTTTCAGAGATAGATTTCTGACGGGAGGCTGAATAATATGGTCACGACAGGCCAAGACAATTTTTTAGGAGTATTTACGCAGAACTTAAAACCTTTTTGGCATGGATATGTATGTATGCAGTCTTTTTCTTTTTTCCGCGTCAATTCGACATCGATGCGATTGATGGCATGCGTTTACACTGATGTTTTAACATTGATGCCTATTGATATGTTTATTTTCAGTGATACTATCAATCATGTTCTTGTTTCGCAATCGGTTACACTTTATAAGATCCATTGCTAGTTTGGATTTTCTTCAAGAGTTTTTACTTCAGAAGTTTAATGTATTAGTGGTCATGCGGCACTATTACAGGAAATTGATAAATGGCATCGATTTGGCATGCGTGCGAATCGATCTCTGTCGATGCACATGGAACATAACAGCGTAAACAACATTGAGCGCTCCTGACTGCTCTTTAATGCGACGTTTCCTTCAATCAGCCGTGGCCAAAGCAGGTGTGTACGCCCCTCTTGCTTTTGGAAAAAACTTTTCTCTTTAACAATCTCTTTTTTCCCAAGAATTTTATCTGAGCTCTTGTCTGATTCTGGCAACGAATCTAATCAAAATTTAACAAACACATGCTTTCTTCCACTTCGTCTCCCAAAGTAGTTGAGAGCAAAATTTTTCTCCCACTTTTCTTGAATGAGAAAAAAAAAGTTCAGATTGATATCAACATTATCATTATAATTTAGTCATTGTATTGAAATTATGATGATAGATGATGTTGTGCTCTATGGTTTTCTCTCAAATAATTTACACTCCTCCAACTTTTTCTCTGGCGACGCCCCTACAATCAACAAAATTAAATAGACTTTGCATTTCTCATCGAGAACACGGGATAGTAAGTAGGGGGTAGCACATTACTATTACTAATATATTACATTACCGAGGGAGTAATAATAAACAGTGTTCTTATTATCGGTAACGGTATATTACATTACCGAGGGAGTAATAATAAACAGTGTTCTTATTATCGGTAACGGTAATACTAAATTTTATATTTTTTATATTTTCGCATACATCCAGCTGACAGATGTTGTACAAAAGACCTGATATTACAATGCTGCATGAAATGATGTTGCAAGCCTATTTCATTGATAAATGTTGCCATAGCCGTGTTTGAATTTGTTGAATATAATGAGGAAACAGCAGTTTATTATTAATAAACCTGAAAAACGGATATACAAGCTGACTGATGACCGAAGCCTTTTGTCAGAAAACAATACAACGGACAGTACAGGTTTACGAGTATAATAAAGTGTGTAGTTTTCCATCGTGATAATGTCCTCGTAAATTTCCGCTGGTAGAAGAGCTCTTTTAGTTAAGTGTTCACAATATGCTTTTAGCCTTGGTATTCTACTTTGTTAATGTATATATGTTCTAGATGTGTAGGGTGGAACTGCCAGTGCAGCTCGTAATGCTTTATTCTGAAGTGTTTGAAGTTCTTGCCATATTTTGTCTTCTGCTTTTAGCAAGATTGATACACCAAATATTAACCCGGGTCTAATTAGAGATTTGAATAAGTTCATCATGATTCGATCATTCGATTCTCGAGTTGATCGTGAAAGAAATCTCAACAGATTGATTTTGGAGTTGACCTTTTCTTTGACATGGTTCACATGTTCTTTCCACGAAAGTGTTTTGTCGTAAATCTAGATACCTTGCGTGTGCCTGTGGGCGAATAGTTGCTGCTCCCACAGTGACTTGTACTGGATTTTTGTATTGTTTACGTGGGTGTACACTAAAGTGAAGCATTTCAGTTTTACTTGACTGTAAAGTGAGCTTCCAGGTTTCACACCAACGAGCGAAAACATTCTCAGATTCCTAAAGACGCCGGTTTAAACCAGAAGTAGTGTTACAGGATGTCCATAAAGCCGTATCGTCGGCAAAAAGTCCACGATCCGTTTGGAATGGCAATCCATCCATAGAATAAGCTGTAAACAAAATGAATAGCAGAGGAGAGAGTGGTGGTCCTTGAGAAGTACCACTTTTCAGACCGAATGTTCGAGATACCAGATTTTCCAGTCCAATTGCTGCCGTTCTTTCGCTGAGAAAAGATATCAACCAACGAATGATATAATCCGTCAGCTTCAGGTCGAATAATTTATAAACGAGTCCCTCATGTCATACGCTATCGAATGCTTGCTTGATATCAAAGAATATCACTGCAGAATGATTAATTTTGTCCAAATTATTGTTGGCAAAATTTTATAATCTTAAAATGTTGTACAGCGTACTTTTTTCGGGCCGAAATCCAGCCTGGTGGTGAGGTAGTGTTTTTCTTTCTTCTAAGATTGACATGATACGATCTTCCATGATCCTTTCCAAAATCTTACCGACACAACTTAATAAACTGATGGGGCGGTAGGCTAGAAGGATCTTCTTTTTTCTTCTTTGGTTTCAGTAACAGAATAATATAAGCATGTTTCCATGTTTTTGGTACGTAACCGATGTTGATTGAAATGTTGAATAATTTAGTTAGACAAGCTGCCAATGTTGGTGTGTAATTTTTAAGACATCTATTATGGACGTTATCCGGACCAGGAGAGGTAAGACGCAATCTGTTAAAGAAGAAACTTAGAAATATTCCGGAAATAAGCAAGAGCGAGGTGATCTGGCATTTAAAACGACTGAAAACTAAGGCGCGGGTAATTCAAAGTTTCAGCAGATGATAGATCTGTTTGAAACATACATCAGTCGATAGCCCTTGACATGGTGATCACGAATATCACCTTTAAAAAAATTCTAGCCCTTTCCTTCGTGAAAAAAACCTTGACATACTTAGTTTCAGTTCAGTTTGCAAAAATTCGACATTCCACATAAAACGGCATTTAGTTCTTCTCTCTTGCACTTTTAGCAGATAGTCTTTCATATTCGAATTCCACACGTCGCAGTGGGTCTACAAAAGTTATTCATCTTTTGTCTGTTGTTAACAGTGGCTGTGCTAAAGCAGCAATTATTTTACTTATGAGTCAAGATTTTAGATTTTTGGTTTTTCGGTCGTATTTGAGTTCGTTGACTTCCAACGTTTTCTCGAACTTCTAATTATGCCAGTAACAAGCCGAAAGCAGAGGACTCGTCGCCTAGCCGCAGGCAAACAATGGTCAACAGGAAGTTTCTCCAATCCTCCACTGGTTCCTGCCTCAGAAACAGAATCAAGTGAAAGCCAAGGATCTGTCCCCATGGAACATGATCAGATTAGCCATATTGATTTTGCTCATTCCTCTATTATTGGTGATCTCAGTGATCTATTCTCTTTTTGCCGCGAACAAATTAATACGAGGTTCCTCAGCACTCTCCTCTACACGACACTCCGTCGCTTTGGCCATTCATGGCGTGTGATCGATGACTTTCTCAAAGGAATTGGTGCAATGACGGCAAAAACATCTCACAAATGGGCTGATGTGCTTGTAAACAAGGACTTCGTCGAGTTCACGTGAGTGTTATTTAATAAAAGGTGAAATTGTTTCTAAGGGTTAACTTTTGTCATCTTTAGCAATGATTCTCGTGATGGAAAGCGCGGTGACTCGGACGTCCGGAATTGGAAGTCCGTCAATTTGTCTACGAGCAGTGCTCCAAAAATGAAGCTTCGTTTACTGTGAGTTAGTTTTTGAATATTGTTCTTGTTAAAGACATTGCTTTGGTGACTTTAGGCTGAGAACCTCGCCCGTTTTCTCGATCAGCGTTTCTATGAAGTGACCAATCTCAAGAAAGAGGACGACAAACTGGTGCGTTCGGTAGAAGCTTGCAAGCTTGACATCCACCGCTTTGGTGCAAAATTCCAATCAAACAGTAGTCGTCCATATTTTCTGGGTATGAAATTTACTTAACACTTAAACTTAAGTAAAGTTGACAATAAATGCATTTGTTTTACAGGTCATGAACGGGAGGATGTCGTGAAGCATAGAGAGGAATTTGTTAACTATTTCCTTCACCATGAAGACAACTTTTACACGATCCCAACATGGATTTCAGTCGTTCATAGTTTTTAGTCGTTTTAAATGCCAGATCACCTCGCTCTTGCTTATTTCCGGAATATTTCTAAGTTACTTCTTTAACAGATTATTCATTTGTGTCCGAGAGATGTTTGATACATGATGATGAAAAGGTTAAATATCTTGTTTTTCACTGTACACCTCCTGAGAAAAGTAGTTGGCAAATATTTCTGATTTTTCTCCGTCAGTATAAGCTTTATGATTGTGGTATTTCAATATACCATTGTAAGATTGTTTAGTTCTTTTATTGTGGTACCGTTTTACAACAGCCCACACTTTCCCAGTGTCCATCTTGCGCTTACACAGCACTTCAGTCAGTTTTTTAAATCTTGCAGATTTTTCATTTCTTAGGGAATTTTCTAACAGTAATTTTTGGTTGTAATATAGTTTTTTGTTTTCGTGAAAGTTAAATTTTTTCATTTTCCTGTAGAGTCTGTGTTTCTCCTTTAGAAGATGAACGGTTGCTTTACTTAATGTATAATTAATTTTTGTATTGGCAGGAGGAACAGCTAGTTTAGCTGCTGACACGATGCTGTTCGTAATGAATGCATTGTATGCTTCCAAATCTGTTGGTGTGCAAATTAACCTGTTTTCATTCCATTG